TCCACTTTCCCATATGCAGGGGCCAGAGAGGCCACACTAGTATAAAAATCACCAACTTACTATGGCCAACAGGACACTGGAAATCTTCAGCTTCTCACTGAGCAAACATATTATAAAGAACCACCTACTTTTCAGTTGCCAGTGTATTCCCTCTGGCCCCCCCGCCTCCCCACTGCCAAAGCATCCTATCACTTTAGAAAGAGTCCTTAAACACGATAGCCTCACCCACAGCCTGAAAGTCAGTCACGGCCCCAAAGTCTTTGAAGCATTAAAAGATAGGCAGAGGCTTCCTTTCTCCCACTCCCATTGTTGTTGCTTGTTTCCTGTTCTAGGAAATTCAATTTGTTTTTCTGAGACAGAGTCTTGCTCTGTTACCAGGCTGGAGTGCAGCAGTGCAATCTCGGCTCACTGCAACCTCCGCCTCCCGGGTTCAAATGGTTCTCCTGTCTCAGCCTCCCAAGTAGCTGGGATTACAGGTGTGAAGCACCTGAGGTCAGCAGGTCAAGATCAGCAGGGCCAACAGGGTGAAACCCAGTCTCTAATAAAAACAAAAAAATTAGCCGGGCATGGTGGCAGGCATCTGCAATCCCAACTACTCTGGAGGTTGAGCCAGGAGAATCACTTGAACCCAGGAGGCTGAGATCATACTATTACACTACAGCCTGAGCAACAAGAGTGAGATTCTGCATCAAAAAAAAAAAAAAAAAAAAAAAAAAAAAAAAAAAGGTATGCGGTGGTTCATAACTGAATGGTCCCAGAGTTCTTTTGCTGATTTTTATTTTTTCATCACGTGCTATGTGGCAGTGAACACCCTCATATCTCTGGATGCATATGAATTTGAATGTTTCTCTGAGGATTATATCCAGGAGTAGTGTTGCTAGAACGGGGGTCAGACAAGTGGTTCTGCTAGATGCTGCCCAGAGTAATTTCCCTTCTTTGTACATCTGTCACCAGGTCATGGATGGGCAAGTCACAGAAGGACAATCTTAACTGCCCTGATGCAGTGTCACAAAATAGCTGCCATGTGTCCTTCCAGCACTTGAGGTTTCTCATTTAATCCAATGAATTATCTAATTCTGCTGCATTAGCTCTAATTTTAATGATTTAATGATTCCTCTTTAAAAATTGGGCCGGGCGGGGTGGCTCACACCTGTAATCCCAGCACTTTGGGATGCCAAGGAGGGCAGATCACCTGAGGTCAAGAGTTCAAGACCAACCTGAGCAACATAGAGAAACTCCATCTCTACTAAAAAAAAAAAAATACAAAAATCGGCCAGGCATGGTAGTGCATGCCTGTAATCCCCGCTACTCAGAAGGCTGAGCAGGAGAATGGCTTCAACCCGGGAGACAGAGGCTGTGGTGAGCTGAGGTGTGTCACTGCATTCCAGCCTAGGCAACGAAAGCAAGACTCCATCACACACACACACAAAAAAAACTGATGTTAATTTGGGTGAAAAACAGTGTGTCATTTTATTTTGCATCTGCCTGATAACTAGTGAGGGTGAACATTTAAAAAATATATATATTGGCCAGGTACGGTGGCTCATGCCTGTAATCCCAGCACTTTGGGAGGCCAAGGTGGGCAGATCACCTGAGGTCAGGAGTTCAAGACCAGCATGGCCAACATGGTGAAATCCATCTCTAAATATATATATGTATATATATGTGTGTATATATATATATATATATATATGTGTGTGTGTGTATATACACGTATATACACGTATATACGTGTATATACGTATATATACACGTATATACATATATACGTGTATATACGTGTATATACGTATAGAGAGAGAGAGAGAGAGCGCGCACGCGTACTTGGATTTTTTTTACTTATGTATCTTTCATTTTTGCTCTTTTTTTTCCTATTACTGTTTCTTTGATATGTGGATTTTATTTATATAGTCTGGATAGATTTCTGTTTTTTATATATGCATGTTTTTTTTTTTTTTTTAAGACGGAGTTTCGCTCTTGTTACCCAGGCTGGAGTGCAATGGCGTGATCTCGGCTCACCGCAACCTCCGCCTCCTGGGTTCAGGCAATTCTCCTGCCCAAGCCTCCTGAGTAGCTGGGATTACAGGCACGCGCCACCATGCCCAGCTAACTTTTAGTATTTTTAGTAGAGACGGGGTTTCACCATGTTGACCAGGATGGTCTCGATCTCTTGACCTCGTGATCCACCCGCCTCGGCCTCCCAAAGTGCTGGGATTACAGGCTTGAGCCACCGCGCCCGGCCTATGCATGTTTTTTTCTTTTATCTTTTTTTTTTTTTTTTTTTTGAGATGGGGTCTCCCTGTCACCCAGGTTGGAATGTAGTGGTACAGTCACAGCTCACTACAGCCTCCTCCTTGGCTGAATTGATTCTCCCACCTCAGCCTCCCAAGAAGCTGGGAGTATAGGCATGTGCCACCACAGCAGCTAATTTTTTTGTATTATTTTGTAGAGCTGGGGTCTCACTGTGTTGCCCACACTGGTCTTGAACTCCTGGCCTCAAGTGATCTGCCCGCCTTGGCCTCCCAAAGTAGTAGGATTACAGGTGTGAGGCACCACGCCTGGCCCAATTATTAAATTACAGACAGTATTCAACATCTGTGAAAACGTCACCTGGGTGAACAAGATGCTTTCATTCTGTGTCATGGTGTCTGGAGTCCCAGGACAGCTGCTCTGAGAACAGCAGCAGTGGGAAAGAAAGGACTGAAAAGACCTATGTCTATCCCCAATTGCGTTCTACAACCCCATCGGGACTTTCCATATTTCTGTTAGCAATTCTATGAATTTATTCTGAGCTGTAATTCCGGTTGCTGTACTCTATGGTATACCTTTGAATTTTTTTGATTACACACACACAAAAAAAACCTTCTATTATCCCTCTGCTGAGCCATATATACCTTACAGTTTCCCAGACAAACCCCACAGAGATCGCCACATAGGTCTGGCTGCCTCATGGAGAAACTTCAAAGCACAATGACACAATTGTGGGGAATCTGAGTCTTACAGCTACACAAAGTGCAAATCCGAGCAAATGAGTAGACTTCACAGGGAAAGAGAAAGGGAACTGCATTTGTCGCAACTTTAAAATGTAAAAAGAACTTTACTTTCCATGTATGTGACAAAAGTTTCATATTACTAATACTCAATTCTCACAATTTGTAAGACAAAAATAGACACTCTAAGAGAAAAAGACAAAAATAGACACCTTAAGTGAAAAAAAGACCCAAAAAAGCCACAAATACGGAATTTGCGAGAGGCACAATAAAAATGGCCAAGAATCATCAACACTCACGAGCTGTCATTTAAGGGCTGAGGGCTTCACACGCATCGCCTCAGTCACCCTCCAAGTGACTCTCAGAGCAGCACTGCCCACTCCTGCTCCCCGCAGGACTCGGGAAGGTGAAGCAGCTTGTCCAGGCTCTCACAGCAGATAAACAGAGCCTGGGCTAGGGCCCAAGTTGGCTGACTCCAAATCTGGGGCCTTGACCATTAAGCAACAAAAATAAAATGTGTGGATTTTATGTATATAATAAATAACTCTACTGTTGGGGAGGGCTTAGAGAAAAGGACCTTCTCATTCAGACCTCTTTGGGATGCAAACTCAGAGAGCCGACAACGGGTTGCAACGGTTTTATCAATGTGCAGTACTGCTAACTCACAATCCCACTTGAGGAAGTGCACCCTACCAAGACCATCTCAGACGTTCCCAAGGATACATGCAAATCTCCTAAATTTCTATAAAACGCACAAAGCAGTCTCAAAGCACTGTTTATACGTGGAAAAAACGCAGACTTCAAAGCTTATTAGTTAGGGACGAGTCTGTGCTATATGCAGACAGTGAAGTATTATATAGCATTGTTTATACTACACTGTCTCTAAGAGAATATATATGGCATGCTATCCTGCAGGGAAGAAGCTACACATGACTCTGCATGTGAATACGGAGAGAGTTTCTTTAAAATGAGCGATTTATCTTTGCTAGGGTCTCTGATGCTTTTGACTTTGTTCCTTTTGCTGCTCTGCAGTGTTTGGATGCTTTCTAACCTATCCTTTTCACCTAAATATGAGCTGCTTGAACATCAAAGAGCTGTCAATCTTTAAACAGAGAGAGCCTTGAACTCCAGATTAAATAAACCTCTCCTCCTGTGATCTGCTACACCCCATATTGCCGCGGGGAAAAGTCCAGGAGCCAGTCTCTGTACACCCCCACTATTAGAAGCCCCACACACAGGGCTTCTCTGCTCCCCTAGGAGGGCAATGGCACAATCTCAGCTCACTGCAATCTCCACCTCCCGGGTTCAAGCAAGTCTTCTGTCTCATCCTCCGGGGTAGCTGGCATTCCAGGCGCCCGCCACCACTACCGGCTTTATTTATTTATTTATTTATTTATTTATTTATTTATTTTAAGTAGAGAAGGGGTTTCACCGTTTTAGCCAGGCTGGTCTCGAACTCCTGACCTCAAGAGTTTCGCCTGCCTCGGCCTCCCACGCCTGCTGGATTACTTACAGGCGTGAACCACCGCGCCTGGCTTGTTTCGGATTTCTTCAAGTTCACTTCGGCTCTGGTCGGGGCCAGTGAAGCACTCTCGTTTCGCCCCCAAGGCAGGGAAAGAGAAGGCGGCCCCCACGCTTCAGCTTAGGCCCCGCCCAGACCTCGGGGTACCCAAGCCCCAGCTCCCGGTACGGCCTGGACCCCGTAGCGTCCTGTGCCCCGCGGCTGGGCCTCCTCAAAGCCTCCCTGACGCCCTCTACCCCTTCCTAACTCCGTCTGCCTCTCCCTGGACCCCTCAGACCCTCCCGGACCCCCTCAATCCTTCCCTAGCCCCTCTCAACGTGGCAGCACTGCGGCCGCTCCCCACCCCCACCCGAAACACCACACCGCCCGGCCCGGAGCCCATCTGGTGGCCCCGACGCGGGGCCACCGCCCCCGCCCCTCCCAGGTCCGAGGCCTCTACCCGGCCTGAACCCCTGACCCTCCCGGCCCCGCCGCCTCCGCGCACTCACCTTCGCGGCAGCGCCTCCTCCAGATGGTGTCGGTGTGAAGGATGCGCCGGAACTTGGTGCAGACCTGGGCCAGGCTGGGCAGGTCTGTGCCGGGCAGCGACGCGAAGATCTCCACCAGCAGCTCGGGCGGCAGCTCCAGCAGCGAGCAGCGCGGGGGCGGCGGCGAGGGGCCAGTGCACAAGCCGCCCCCCACCCCGGCCAACACCGCCGCGCCCGCCTCGATGCGCTCTTCCTCGGGATCGGTGTCCGGCTCGCTGTCGGCCGCCGCCGTCTCGGCCGGGCCCCGGCGTTGCTGGCGACGCCGGCATCCGCGCGACGGGCCCACGCCGCAGAGGCGAGCGCACACCGCCATGCCGCCCAGTGACGGCCGATGCCGTCGCTTCTGCGCACGCGCCAACGCGGCCTCGCTCAGCCAGCGCCAAGCCACGCCCCCGCCGCAGAGCCCGCCACGCCCCCTGGAGCGCCCAGCCCCGCCCCTGTCTGGAGCCCCGCCCCGACCGCACCCCCAACTCCGACCTCCGAGACCCCGCGCAGCTACCATCCCCTCCCGCGTGAGGGCGCCGCTCGCGGCGGGCACGAGAAAAGAAAGTGGTGGTGCTGGGCGCAAAACGAGAAGCTGCCCCGTGTGAGGCTCGAACTCACGACCTTCAGATTATGAGACTGACGCGCTGCCTACTGCGCTAACGAGGCTGCTCGGCTGCCCCCTCCGCGCCGCATCCTTTGAGGAGACACTGGTCGCTCCCGCGCCGGCGACCCCACTTCGGACGCCTGAAACTCTGCCCCGCCGACCTGCGAACGGAAAGATGCTCTTTACAGCTCCAAATACAAAGATTGCAGCCCGAACCCCAATGGGCGCCCAGAAACCCTTCTGTCCTTGGAAACAACGGGCGTTCCATCGCGTCCGCTTCACGGTAAGGAAAAGGGCCGCGCTGCGGGGCTCTGCGAGCTTCCTCTGGGGTTCCAAGCTCTCTGGAAGCCCCGGGGAGGGATCGCAGGGGCGGCGGCCAGCGCGGCCCGAGGGATTCGGGGATGCTCGACCGGTCTTGAAACGGAGGCCCTACCGCGGGGCCCCCACAAGCGGCTGAGTTCCTGACGCTACCGGGAGCCGCGCACGCCCGCTCCCACTGCGACCCGTCGATGCCGCGGGGCGGGGGCGTCCCCTAGTTCCGCGGGTGGGGACCGTGAAGGCGTCCTCTGACCAGAGCAGCCGCGCACGGCGCCGTGGGCCCCGCCGCGGATCCCATCGCTGGAGGCCCAGGCGGGAGGATCGCTCGAGACCGGGAGTTCGAGACCAGGCTGGGCAAAACAGCGAGACGCCGCCCCCCCCCTCCCGGTTTACAAAAATAAAAATAAAAAGAGGCTGAAACGGGAGGATCTCTTTAGCCAAGGAGACCGAGGCTGCAGTGACCTGTGATGGCGCCACTGCACTCCAGCCTGTGCAACACAGCGAGACCCTGTCTCCAAAACAAACAAAAAATCGAAAAGCCACAAATGGCAGGGCGCCGTGGCTTAGGTTTGTAATCCCAGCACTTTGAAAGGCCGAGGAGGATGGATCACCTGAGGTCTTAAGTTTGAGACCAACCAGCCAGACCAACATGGTGAAACACTGTCTCTAAAAATTATAATTTTAAAAATTAGCTGGGCATGGTGGTGCCTACTCGGGAGGCTAAGGCGGGAGGATCGCTGGAACCCGGGAGTGGGGGTTCCAGTGAGCTGTGATCACACCACTGCACTCCAACCTGGGCAACAGATCAAGACCCTTCTCAAAAAATAAAAAAAAAAAAACAAAAAACAAAAAAAAAAACAAGACCAAAGGGGGAAAAAAATCCATACAGATGTGTCTACGTCCAAACCTTGAGCTTTTTAGGCCCACACTATTGAAAATCAGCACCTGACTGATCGATTACCCTGACCTCAGGTTCCTTGTTTTTTGGTCCATTCCACGCTGTCAAAATGCTCTTACTTCCAGTGACCATTAATAAGTAATCCAAAAACAAACTCCTTTCACAAGGAGTAGGACCCACTTCTTCACAGGTATGTAATGGGCCGCACTGACCCCTCATGGGGTCCCACAGAGCCCCTCACACCTGGACCCGCATCCCCCCCAGACTTCCCACCAGGTCCACCCACTTCCCAGCCCATCACCCCTGCCCGAGATCTCCCCCCACCTCCTGGTCCTGCCCTTAAACAACCGACACCCTTGCCTGCTTGCCCTCAAAAGGAGCGGCCTTCTAGGAGGCTTCCCCACATTTTCCCTAGGGGAGAATGGTGCCTTTATCATAGGGCCATCGTACTGTTTTATTACGAATATTAGTTTCCTCTGGACTACACTCACCAGCTATAGCCCCCTCACATGAGATGTGGAAAAACATTGCATGATCAATGAATGTTCACTGACTAAATACTTTAAAAAAAAAAAAAAATAGGCCAGGTGCGATGGCTCACGCTTATACTCCCAGCACTTTGGGAGGCCGAGGAGGGTGGATCACCTGAGGTCAGGAGTTTGAAACCAGCCTGGCCATTATGGTGAAACCCCGTCTCTACTAAAAATACAAAAATTAGGCGGGCGTAGTGGCGGGCAACGGTGTTTTCAAGTACTCGGGAGGCTCACGCAAGAGAATCGCTTGAACCTGGGAGGTGGAGGCTGCAGTGAGCCAAGATCGCACCACTGCACTTGCAGCCTGGGCGACAGATTAAGACTCCATCTCAAAATAAATAAATAAATTTCAGGAGCAAATGCTAAAAGAAAAAAAATATAAGAAAAAGGAAAAAATAAAAATAACAGGCTAAAAGGCCGAAAAACAAGGAACAGGAACCAAACAGATGTAGAGAAGACTGGTGGATCAGTCACAGAAATGCATGCTAGGAAGTGTCTAAGCAAGAAGAATCGCATGAACAGATTTCACACCGAATGGCTGACTAGCCTACGTGCTATGCTCTGTGTGTATCCACAGGTTCTAGATATAATCTTTGCCACTGTTGCAATTCAGTTCATTTTTTTTATTTTTGGTTTTATTAATCGGTTTATGAGGTTGAGTATTTTTTTTTCCAAAAACTGATCTACCCATTAGTAGGTCTTGTACTAGGAGCTGAGTATAAAAACAGGAATAAAACACATTTTTTCCCTGTTAAAATATGCAACATAATTTGGTTAGATGTCCATCTTTAGAAGAATGGTTATTATACCAGTCTATGTTCATAATTTGAATTATACAACTACACAGTTAAAAAGATACAGTCTGCTGCGGTGGCTTGTATCTGCAGTCTCAGCTACTTGGGAAACTGAAATGGAAGGATCCCTTGTGCCCAGGAGTTCCTGGCCAGCACAGGCAACATAGTAAGACCCCTGTCCCCTCAAAATATATACCTTTTAAAAAATATTTTTGCCCAAGCTGGAGTGCAATGGTGTGATTTCAACCCACTGAAAGCTCTGCCTCCAGGGTTCAAACAATTCTCCTGCTTCAGCCTCCTGAGTAGCTGGGACTACAAGCATCTGCTACCATGCCTGGCTAATTTTCATATTTTTAGTAGAGATGGGGTTTCACTATTGGCCAGGCTGGACTCAAATTCCTGACGTCAAGTGATCTACTTGCCTTGGTCTCCCAAACTGCTGGGAACACAGGCGTGAGCCAATGTGCCCAGCCTTTTTTTCTTTCTTTTTTTTTTTCTTGAGTGGAATTTCACTCTTTTTGCCCAGGCTGGAGCGCAATGGTGCAATCTCAGCTCACTGCAGCCTCCACCTACGGGATTCAAGTGATTCTCCTGCCTCGGCCTCCTGAGTACTCGGATTACAGGTGCCCACCACCAAACCTGGCTAATTTTGTATTTTTAGTAGAGACAGGGTTTCACCATGTTGGCCAGGCTGGTCTCAAATTCCTCACCTCAGGTGATCCACCTGCCTCGGCCTCCCAAAGTGCTAGGATTACAGGCTTGAGATGCCATGCCCAGCCTACATTTTAAAAAGACATACATTTGAATATATATATATATATATATATATATTTCATCTACAGAAATTTATATATATTCAAATGTATATATATATATATATATATATATATATATATATATATAAAATTTCTGAAGACGAGTGTACATGGAGCTTATGTTCAGGAAGAGAATATTCCAAATTGCTAACAGTGATTATCTCTAAGGATGTGAAGAGTTCGAATGGTGATCAACAGAAACTTTAGTTTTCTCTATAGTGTTTATCTTAACAGTGAGGAAACATTTGTATATTATTTGTATGATAAAGAATGAAGCCAGGTGTGGTGGCAAGTGCCTGTAATCCCAGCACTTTGAGGGGCTGATGTGGGTAGACCACTTGAGGTCAGGAGTTGGAGACCAGCCTGGCCAATATGGTGAAGCCTTGTCTCTACAACTCCGTGTCTACTAAAAATACAAAAATTAGTGGGGCGTGGTGGTGCACACCTGTAATCCCAACACTTTGAGAGGCAGGAGGTGGGTGGATCACTTGAGTCCAGGAGTTCCAGACCAGCCTGGGCAATAGGGCAAAAACCAAAAACCCATCTCTACAAAAAAAAGACAAAAAACAAAAAAATTAGCCTTGGTGGTACTTGCCTATAGTCCTAGCTCAGGAGGCTGAGGTGGGAGGATCACCTGAGCCCAGGAGGTCAAGGCTGCAGTAATCTGAGACTGTACCACTGCACTCCAGACCACGGGTGACGAGCAAGACCTGTATCAAAAAAAAAAAAAAAAAAAAAAATGGCTGGGTACGGTGGCTCACACCTGTAATCCCAGCACCTTGGGAGGCCGAGGCAGGCAGATCATGAGATCAGGAGATCAAGACCTTCCTGGCTAACATGGTGAAACCCCATCTTTACTAAAAATACAAAAAAAAATTAGCCAGGCATGGTGGTACGTAACTGTAGTCCCAGCTACTCAGGAGGCTGAGGCAGAAGAATCACTTGAATCCAGGAGGTGGAGGTTTCGGTGAGCGGAGATTGTGCCACTGCACTCCAGCCTGGGTGACAGAGCGAGACTTCATCTAAAAAGGTGAGAAAGTATAATGATGTTGAAGTATTAAACTGATAGCAGTAAATAAAACCAGTAAAGTCACCTGACACACATATATACAGAATATATGCATTAAGTAGATGTTGGTTGTCACTGATTCATCCAACAATTATAAATTATGCAACTACTATGTACTAAGCACTATGCTGTGTCTGTGGCTAAGAGAATTATTAATAGTACAATAGTTCCAATTAGGCTGGGTGTGGAGGCTCATACCTGTAATCCCAGCACTTTGCGAAGTCAAGGCAGGCAGATCACTTGAGGTCAGGAGTTCCAGACTAGTCTGGCTAACATGGTGAAAACCCATCTCTATTAAAAACAGGAAAATTAGCTGGATGTAGTGGTGTGCACCTGTTGTCTCAGCTACTCAGGAGACTGAGACAGGTGAATTGCTTGAACCCAGG